GCCCCGCGCCGGCCCCCGGCCCCCCAGCCCGGGCCAGCCCCCCTTGCAGACCGGCCGGCTCCAGGTGCGGGGTGTGAGGACGCAGCCCCGTCCCCTGCACCCCCAGTTTGTGATCGCCAGTTTAGAGAGCAGGAAGCGCCCAACTTCATCGATTCGTGTGTGCTCTTTTTCAGATGTTTCTAAGCAAGTCCAGTTTTTCTTCTTAAAATCCGCCCCATCTTATCACTATCTCCCTACCACGCAGCGTTTGGAAAATCTAGCGGTTATCAGTTGCCTAGGCAACGCATAGCAGCGCAGACCTGAAGGAACCCGACGGCAGCTAACCTGTTTTATAAATTAATGCCCTTATCTCCCCACCCCACCCCGCCCCCGGGGGATTAAAACGACATTCTTTCTCTTGAGAGTGAGTCCTTTCAGCAGAACTGTTGGTTCTCAGGATTTTGACAAGTGTGTTACAGGACGTCTTGGATTCTCAAACTGTAGAGCTGAGAGGGACCTTAAGTAAAGTCCAGTTCATCTCATTTTACAGGTGAATACACCAGGCCTAACGAGCGAAATGTTTGATCAAGTCCTGCTCTTCTTCTTAGCTGGGCCTTAGGGCTGAGGACCCCGTGGTCACGGCAGTCCACCATGCCAGGATTGTGGGCTCGGCCAGTGGGTTTCTCAGGTTTATTGAGAAATTAGGTTACCAGGGTGTGATGGCTCTGTAGTGGAGGTAGGGCTGTTTCTAGGCGGGATAAGCTGCCTGTGATGTACAGTGAAGCCAAAAGCCCGTGCCCTCCCCACCGCCACTTGCCAAAAGAGTCGGCCTTATTCTCTGCGAGAGTAGCAAACATCGTGGCATTGGTTGCCTGCTTAGTTTAAGGCATCAAAGTTTGTGTAGCAGTCTGGATATTTTGGTAAGGGTACACTGAATCCATTATCGGAATAGTAACGTGATGGACATGGAATAGGTTGGTCCTGATGGCTGGGGAACATCAAGGGCTGGTCAGCAAGAAAGCAAGAAGGGGCCCCACAGGACCTGTCCTATCTGAACGCCTTTTGGATATGGTGGAGATGGATTTTGCTCAGTTTCGGTTGCTGTTGGAGTGGGCCAAGTCCTGTAGTATAAGATCTATACCAGCTAATTTTTTTTTTTTTTTCCCCCAGTACCGGGAATTAAACACATACCAGCTAATTTCCTAGGCGAATTTTGGAGTTTTCCTAAAGGGAGGGTAGTACTGGCTCATGTTACAAGCCTGTGGAAATGGGCTCAGAGAGATTTACCTGACTGCAGTGATGGAGTCATCTGCAGAGGAATGTAAGCCTAGATCACTTATCTTCCGAGTGTAGTCAGTGCTCTCTTGCGTTATATCTCGCTCCCGCTTCGGGCCGGGAAGGGGATGAGAGAATCGCCTGTGGCCTATTTATTGGCGCCTGTGGTTGCCCAGAGAGGCCAACCAGGACTTTCAGCTGCCCTCTATGCCTCAGAAAGTGGAGCTATGTGCTTCCACCCTATCTCCTGAGGGGAATGCGAAGGAGCCAGGCTGTCTAGCTGGGGAGGAGGGGCCCAAGTGCCTTGGCTGTGAAATATCCTGGCCAGGCTGTGCTGGGAAGTCTTGCATAATGCCCTCCCTACCACTGAACACAAGTGATTTATTTGCTGCAGTCTGTAGGTGGTGCTTGACCAGCTTGTCCATTTTAGTAATAACAGGGCCAGAAAAGAGTTAGGGGTTTTATATTATTGCAGATTCCCCCGCCCCGCCCCCGTTTTAAAAAAGCAGCACAGGTGTCCTTATCTTGAGAAATTATGAAGTGCTTCTGCACCACTTCCTGTGCCCCCTTCCTGCCTATTTATTCCCCAGAGCATGTGCGCTTCAGTCCTTTGAGAGGAAAAGGCTAAAAAAATACTGCTTCAGTTTAGTCACCAGCACAGGGTATGGAGTCAGACCTGGCTTTTGATCTCTACTTTCTACAGTTTGCTGGTTGTGCGCCCCAAGTTTAAATTTTTTTCTCTTATGTGAAATGGAAATGAAAGATACTTTAGTTGCAATGAGGATTAACAGAGATAATGCACATAGCTCACTCAGCACAAGGCCTTGCACACAGCTACTTATTATAATACTGACCATTGGCGTTAACTGGAATACTATTCTTCCTAGAAAAGGGAAAGTGTGACTGCTTGCACCTGCGTAGAGAGAATGGCGGGAGAAAGGGTTTGAAGCAAACATCAATTTCAGTATTATTAATGATTTAACTTATACTTCTGCTTTCCTTTTGCTAGCCAGAAGTTGTCATCCTCCTCCTCTTTCACCTCCTCCACAGAAAAAGTGTTTCTAGTGTTATTTTTGAAATTTTTAAAACTCACTTTTTCCCTGGTTACAAACCAATCATACGTGAATGTTTTACTGCTTCTTAAAAACTGTAGACACTTGAAGCAAAGGGTTCCATTAGCCCATGTGGGTAGTATATTCATGGGACTGTAACTCCTTGGCAAAGTTAGTATTGGTTCACTTGTATATAGAAGTTATAATCATTTGTGTGTGCTGTATTCTAGGTCTGTACCAGCACTGCCATTTTTAGACTTTGGCCTGTCCTTTAATTATCTTCCGTTTTCTGGCAGAAATGCAGTCTATTTTTTTTTTTTTTTTAATGGCTTAAGAAGATCTTCCTTTCACAGGGTTCCAATGTTTTTTTTTTTTTAAGTCTATAAGCAGTTTGCACTCGTTGTTACATTCTCATTGGCTTTACCAGACATCCCGCAGTGTTAGTTAGATGAGGGTAAGAGATGGAGAAGGTTAGCTATGTCCGCCAACTGGCAAGAGGCCCCAAAGTAATGTTTCCCTGTTTCGTTAAAGGTTTGTAGAGCGTAACTGCTCTTCCTGTGTCATCTACCAAGTCTACTTCTCTCTAATATTTTTTGTAGATTTTCATAAATAGATATCTAGAATTTATGGCAGAGTTTGCCCCTAGAAACATTTTCAGATTTGGAATTTCTATCTCATGTATTTATTTATTTTTTTGTCTTTTTTTTGAGACAGGATCTTGCTCTATAGTTC